TGGCACAGCTGTTGCACCCCTGCAGGAGAGCATTCAAAGCGCAACACACGGCCGTTTGCAAAAGCTTTAGCAACTGACGGTGCTGTGATGTCGGAAACTCTTCCGGCCATCTGGAGATGAGGTTCACACATGTCAAGAGGTAACAGGCCCCTTGTGGTGGCGGAAAGAACCGACAATGTGCAGATGGAAGTGGGAAAATTTTGTGTCTGGAGGCCGAAAAGGGGATGTCGCCATGACGGTGAACTTAAGCACGCTGGCCCTGAAGACGGGTATGCTGGGCCAGCGCCGCACGTCAGCATTCATGCTTGGTTAGAGGAAACGAGATGCGACTAGCTTCCGAGTACCAGTAATACTAGGATGGCTCATGTCGTGCAGTTGATCAAATTGTGTAACAAAAAGCTGACGGCACAAAGTGCCGAGGCACACCAATAGACAGTTGGCACGTTACTAATAAGGTAGAAAATGAAAGTGGGCACTCCATGAATGGATGAAAAACGAAGACAGTGTAACTCGGGATCATTGCACTGGATGGAAGTTCTTCCATGTTTAGTGGGGGCTAGGTCAACAAGGCTACGATGTTCGCAGGCAAGTGTACTGTATTTTGCTTCCAGTTTTTGCGAGAAAAAAGCCAAAGGGCTGCCAACCTGATACGTGTTGCTCGAGAAAGAGGCCAATTGCCAAGCTTGATGCAGTGCTGCTGACTAAATGAATTGGGGCATTAGGAACAGGGTTTACGAGCATGTTGGAATCTGCCAAAGCCCTCTTTATAGTGACGAAAGCAGATTCAGCTTCCTACGTCCACTCTAACGGCACATCTAGGTCTTTCTTTTGAGCCAATAGGTCAGCCAGGGGCTTTATAAACGGGCCACACTTTTGAACAAAGCGGCAATAGAGTTCATAAAGCCCAAGAATTCTCCGAGTCTTTTCAGTGAAGCTGGGCATGAAAAGTCTTAACAGCTTTCACTTTGCTGGCGAGTGGTTGGAAACCGTGAGGAGGGACGAGGTGGCCTAAGAACTCTATGGTATCGACGTCGAAGCCGAAGGGGCACTTATTGAGATCGATTACAAGGCCATAATTACCCAAGCATTAGAATTGAGTGCGCAAGAGGACTTCATGCTCAGAACCAGATGAGCTTGCGACAAGGAGGTCTGACGTAGGCAAATACAAAATTTAGACCTCCCGTGGCCTCATTGCGCTGAAAAGTTTATGCACCATTTCACAATTCAAAAGGCATCCGTACGTTTTCAAACAGACCAAATGGGGCGGTGATGGCCGTCCTTGGAATGTCGGCAGGTTCTGAAGAAATCTGATGGTAAGCCTTGACTAAGGCATCCTCAGAGAAGACTGCACCCAGCCAAATTTGATGTGAGGTCCTGTATGTGGGGAAGTGGATAGCGGTCTGGTAAGGTGAGGGCATTTGGAGGGCGCTAATTTACACATGATCTCCAGTCACCAGAATCTTTCTTTGGCATAATGTGGAGTGGCGATGCTCAGTTGTTTGAGGAAGGCCGCAAAATGCCAAGTTCCGGCATGTGCTCAAACTCATGGCAAGTGATGGCAAGGGGTTCTCCAGATAGTGCACGGGGCCATGTAAAAACTGGAGGTCTGATAGTGACAACGCAGCGAGTGATAAAATGAATGCTTCACCGGTGAATCCCTGGTGTTCGGCTTCATAATGTTGGGAAACTGCGAGTACTTTGCCGTATGGCGAAGCAGGTGTGACAGCTTGAAGTCCCGTAGAAGGGGAAGTACGGAGTATACCAGTGATAGAGAGGCCCGTGTTAAGATTGATGAGGCGATGAGCATGCATGTCCACAGTAAGGTTGAGAAAACTGAAGTCGGCCCCCAAAACAGCATGCGAGACGTCAGAGAGGATGAAAATCCGGCGAAGCGTACGGCATAGTCCTAAGTCAAGTGTAAAAGACCGTTGACCGCATATCCAGATGGCAGAATTGTAGATCGCTTGGAGTGGGCATGTCTGCTTGTTGCGACAACGATCTGCCTACGAGGCCTGCATGACGCTAACCTGGGCTTTAGTGGCAACTAAGAAGCAAGCGCCAGTGATTTCATCGAAAACATAAAAAAGGCAGCATAACTTTGGACCAGTACCACTCCCTAATATCAGTGGCCGGTCGTCAAATTTCCCCACCAAGAGCACGGGTGAGAACACTTGCGAGCAGAAGATCGTGTGCTGGTGGTACCAGCACACGATCCGCTACGCAGCGCCTCGGTTGGCTGAAGTCCCGGATAGCGTGGTGATGCCGAGGAGCGACTAATTTGAACCTGGATGATGACCGATTCATGGTAGAAAGCCATCGAGACGCCTATGACAAGCGTTCAAACAGCTCTCGATGCTCGCAAGGGTGGGGTCTGCAGCGGTGTGGTAACGGAGTTGAGGCTATGTCGTGAGTACTCTGCAACTCGATCAGCGAGTGTGTCTAATGAAACAACTCCTGCAGCCACGAGGACTGGGATCATGCTGTGGTAAGCACTAGAGGAACCACTCACAAAAGGGGCAGAGGGCCTGCCAAGGATCAGACACATGCGTCACAGAAATTGTGATGGGCGAAAGTCACCGAGCTCTATCAGTGAGCAGCTGTTGGAGTCTGCTGTGTTCAGACCGATAGCTGCCTTCAACAGCTAATACGGATGGCTCGGGTGCGGTGATGCTAAAATATCACCCAAGTCTTCAGCCACGTCCCGAGATAAGCAGGACACTAGCTGGCAGTACCTGGTCTGTGGGCTGCCGATTTGCCATAAACAGAAGTGTGCCTTGACCTGCAGGAGCCAAGTGCTGGGGTTGTTGGGCCAAAATGGTGGCAGGTCAACATGTTGGAACACAGCAACCGAAGCATAAGGTGTGGAGTCTTCTTGGGTATCGGGACCGCCACGAAGGGTGGAAGAGCCGGCGGCATCCATGCGGAATGGTTGCGGTTGAATTCAGAACTGACTTTTTATTCTCGCACTGCAAGCGCCACGCGACCGAATGCCAACTTCTTTGAGAGGCACCACAAGTTGAGTGGCTACAAGTCATTGAAATCACACAACTGCTTTACCAGCGATTGGGCAGAGAGCCAGTCTGCAAAGGAGCTTCAATATCGTAGATTTCATTGTGTTTTCAGAGGTAAGTTGAACGGTTCATCAAATTGGCTTATTCGTCAGCCCCCACGATATCAAATAGTGATGCCCGAATGCTGTTAAATTAAGAAATGCCGATGTCTTCTGCTGATTCGCTTAGTTCTCATGAGAGTGCAGCAAGATGCTCACGCAGCAGCACGATTTTTATCAGATGTCCTTTTGACTGTCCGTTTTATATAAACAGAGGAATGTATGCAGTATGTGTGTGTGAACGAGTACTGAGGGTTTAGTCACTGCATGTAAGCAGCCATCGAGAGCAAGCCGCATTAGGCTTATTGAACACGCATTGGCCGGTGCTCAACACTGTTCAGCCTGCACTTGCTGCCTTTCGTTGACGCTGCTAACTTCAGGCTGATGTTGTGCAGCGCCTGCATATTTGAAGATGTAGCGGAATCGTAGAGACAACACCAACTCTCGTTCATCTCGTTGAACAATGAGCATGGCTTTTCTATGAACACAAGAGCATCAGTGTTAATTAGCATCTTTTTCGTTCACCTGCTATAGAAGGCACCCCACACACGAACATGGGTTTTTTTTTTTCTTTGCCAAAATTTGCTCACATTATGTGCGCCAGGCAACCTCTGTGATTGTTGGTCCCGAGTATTTCTGAACGTTTGCACTGGCCTTTAATAACTTTCGTTATTCAAAACAAACTCACTGGTGGGCTGCTGCTTTCTTCCACAGCTGTCGCCATGATTGTAACAGTCTACAACTGGGCATATAACCACAGCAGAGGAAGAAACTCGCTGGTGTGGAAGGCAGAATTGCAGATCTAAAAGGAGGGGGCCCTAAATCAGCCGCATACATTAAATATAGGGAGGGAGCACCAACTCGAGAAGGGGGCGCAAAATGAGCCCTATATATTGACTTCACCCACCCCCCTCTTATGGGGAACCCTGCGCACGCCTATCGTTATGAGAGTCCTCAATAAGCGATACATGACTACTCGGACATTTAACACCTTACCAACCTCGCCAACAGGCAAGCGAGCACGGACCAGGTTCGCGTTGCCGACATCTAGACTCGGCCACTGAGCTAAAATCAGTCACACGAACACGCAAAAAACGCCAAGTGCTCAGTTTTTTACCAGTATTGTTCATGTCCATCCTCACATCCACTAAAAATCGAAGCCTTCCACGCTATAAATTACGCTGAATCTCGTCGAACACTCTATTGAGCTTCTTGACATGCCAGCGTTGTCCACCACTAAAAAAAATTGGCAAAAACGGCGACACTTCACGAGACCTAAATCTGTCACGAAGCGACGCCACAGAACGCACAAAACAACTCCAATTTAGAGATATACATTTAAACATGAATACAGCGAAAATGCCACTTCACTAAATCTTCGTACCCTGCTGGCAACGATTCTGCTCCGACTAAGCCTATCCTCTTAAGCCTAACGCTTCAAGGCAAATACACAAGCAGAAAAGCATCAGAGAGAGACGCCCTCTCTCTGCTTTTTTTTTATATAGGGTGTTCTCACGCGGTCACAGCCGCTTTTTCCCTCCTCTTCGCTTTTTCCCACCAAGGCAACGTTTTTATGTTCGGTCGTTCTTGCTAAGCGGGCGCTTTTCCTCACGGCACAAAGCAACTCGTCAGATGGTCTTTCCACCTGTGCGTTTCCACCTACGTACTGCGCCTCCGTGCCATGACCACAAGACAAGGTTGTTGACAAAGTTATGACACAATGATATACAGATTCAAGCGAAAGAAGTTTCACGTGAAGCAAATGAGAAGTTCCGACTACAACGAACAGGACGTATCGCACCTATGCACGACCAGCACTTGCGGTACTAGTAAAGGCAGGAAAAAAAAAAACGAGTAGAGGAACAAAAGCCAAATGACAGGGAACACTCACCACCGACGACAACTAGTTTATATTCCGTCATTGTGGCAGCGCGCTGCAGCCTGCCGGCGCCGTGATTGGCACGATCACTTTTTCGGGGTCTTCCCGCGGTGTCCCGTGCATAAATTTCCTCGCACGCACGGAGAGCAATGTCCACAACCTTAGACGCACATGGAAGAGGCTCGCACTGCTACGAGTGCAGTCAACGACGGATCACACTGCCTACCTGCTGCCCAGCGCCCACACTTGCGCCGACACCTCTGCCGCCCAGCCGAAGGCCCAGCTTGGCCAGCACACAACGGCTGTATAGACACTGTTTAGTAACTACAGCCACTACTACCTAGTCCCGGAAACTTTCAAGTTCAAGTGATCACCTGTAGGGGGCAAAAAAATCAATAGGGGCGCGTTTTTGTTTCAAACATCTAGAGTGGATCTACTGAACTTTCGCGCTATTCCACTTTCTTGTAAGGGCGCTTTCGTTGGGGCCCACGGAGGAAGGGTCCTTCCTCCGTGTTGGGGCCATAGAGTTTCCCACAATACTTACTAGAGGGAACTCTGGCGCTAGTGTCTAAGGGAGCTGCAACACACGGTGCTTCAGCGAGCATGGGAATGATGGGTAGACTACTAACTACTAGTAGAGGTGTGCGCCGAGGCGATTTCGACCGACGGCGGCGTGGGGGTCGTTCAGAGTCGGCGGCGGCGGCGTTGTCGGCGCACGCCGGTTTTTTCATCGGCGGCGGCGCGCGGCCAATTTTCGTCGGCGGTGGCGGCGCCGGCGGCGCAGAAACCGAAACTGAAAATTAAAAAGGCTCTTCTGCCACAAGTTACTGAATTTTTTGAAATTCAAGAACTTTAATCCAAATAGCATAAATGACACTACACAGATGTGTTGACATCCCGATGAGTGCAAAGCGTTTTGTAAAATAGTATTTATTTTGCTTTCATGAAAAAATACCGCGTATTTCTGTCTATGTCCATGTTCTATGGTAAATGTGCAGCACTTTGCTTTTTTTTAGTTTAAGATGCATCAGTTTGTTGTTGTTGTTGGCAACGTCATACTTCATGAAACCTTCTTTCATTGAACAATGAGCAAGCGGTGACGCACGTCACTCATTTCGCTTTTTCCGGATCTGGTCTTATTTTTACATTATATGCTGCACAAAAGAAGAAGAACCTCTGCTTCGAGTTTTGTTATTAAGATTGCATGAAACCGCTTTTTTGAGTATCTGTCTTGCTTTGAATGTAACTTTTCTTCAAACGAATCAAAATACCTACTTTTCACAATGTGAGAATCTTTTATGCAGTGGTATAGGATGCGGAAGGAAACAGATCTGCGCATTTATTCAACTAGTTCTCAGCGCGGTGTTCAATGAATGAAGTGTAGACATGGGCGTGGGCGAGGCGGGTGGTGCAAAAAGGACACTTGAACCCTTCAAGCTCCACCAGCACTTGCTACCCACTCTAGCGACACCAACACGACCTACTCCCTCAGTCGTGATGCAAGTTGAAAGAAGGGTTTGCATCCCCCCAAGACAAAAACCTGTCGATAGTCATATGTGCAGATGAAAGCAAATGCAATATTTGCTCAGATACACAGCCCATACTGGTCACGAGCTGGGCGTCCGTTGACCACGCCTGCAGAGAACGTTGACTCCCCGACCCCTTGGTGTTTGGTCAGGGGAGGGAAACACCCCTTGCAAGTGGGCCCCATTAAAATTTCTCTTAAAAACGTCACAAATAAGAATGCTTGATAAGTATGTATAAAACATTCAACTTTTCAATGCTTTTTTGTAGCGTGTTCACGTGCTCAGTACCCATCAGATGTGCGAGAAATCTAAATAGCAACTGCCCCTCTCGACTTGTTCCGGAAAAGACACAATAGAACAATGCAATTACGAGTGCTGGGAACCTTTGTTCTTTTGTACATTTGATTTCTAGGCATGATTAGGATTCTTATATAAACAAAAATAAAACCTGCAACATATTTAAAAAAGGCTGCTATTGCAAGATGTGTGTTGCAAGACGTGATTTTTCTAGACTTACGTCTCTGCAAGGCACATCTGGTGTCACAAACTTGTAAGTGTCCCCCCTTTTCCCCACGACATCTCCCGATCCCCCCCCCCCCCCTCTCTAATAAAAAGGCACCAATGTAGGCCTCCGTAGGCTTCCGTGATTGCCTATTGGCGCGCGGTGGGCCATTCCGGTGGCTAGGTCCAACAGTGGCGATTTTGATTTGCTTTATTGGAGGTGCTGAAGGATCAAGAAAAGGCCGATATTTGTAAATTTCTTGAGAGTTCAGTGATAGTTTCTTCATGAATACCGTGGATTATTGGACCTCACTTTGTGTATAATGCTCCAATGAAAAAAAAAATGGTTTCATCCTGTGTCACTGCAGAGTCAGAAGCCATCACTTGTGCAGGCATCATTAAGCTTCTATATGACATTGCTAAGGTTCAGTACATTTGTGCAAATAATTCTCGTTAATTGAACATTTTGAGCATAATCTTTGCTTGGGTTAGTATGTGTGAAACATAAATTTGAGATTTAAAATTATCATTGTGGGTTTCTGCAGCAAAGGCACATTGATTAAAACTGATGACTCCGGAGCTACGGCAGAGGCAACACTCGTTCTGTTTTTTTCAGTTACGGTAACGGTAATGCGTTACCTTTTTTATGTATCTATATAACGTGGAGCCGTGAAACGTTCCCCTTTTTCTTATTTGAGTAACGAGTGAGGTATTTAGTTACTTTTTACTGTAACGGATACGTCCCTAAATAGACTTACAGGAGTGATGTCGGCCGACACCATCAGTTGTTGCGGTCTATAGGCTGATTGTAAACATTACATGGATATATTCCTTTCACAAGCACGTGATAGGGAAGGGTCGCTCGACCATTGAGGATCTCGACCTTTGAGAAATACACAACAGCTTCTTAATGATGTGCATATCATCCCACCGAAGCGTGCACTTCGTTTCGTTAATATTTACAGTCAACGTGAGTGCTGTCGTCACACCGTATGTTTTAGGTAGAAATTTAGCCTACTCAAAATACCTAAAGACGTCGATCCACCTTGCAACGCGTGGCCACCCGCTGACGGTTCTGTATGAAAATGGCATCCACAGTGAAACACGTTGCATCTGCTGAAACTTTATCGCAACATTATTATACTGCCACGCTCGCTTGTATTTTTATGTCACTGTCTTGCGCAAAGGCACTGCCATAGTGGTTCAGTAGCTAAGGTACCCGGCTGCTGACCCGCACGTCGCGGGATCAAGTCCCACCTGCAGCTGCTTTATTTTCGATAGAGGCGAAAATGCTGTAGGCCCATGTGCTGCGATTTGGTTGCATGTTAAAGAACCCCAGGTTGTCAAAATTTCTGGAGTCCTCCACTACGGCATCTTTCATAATCATGTGGTGGTTTTGAAACGTTAAACACCACATAATAATCAGTTGCCTTGCACAAAGGACGCTTGGCCGTCTGCGAAAACTCTAGATTATTTTAGAATCTTCTGATAAGCTTGAGACACCTATGATATGGATGCTACGTGTATGAATGGTGACGTACCTTCACGCAGATCATTTTACCGACGACCAATGCTCTAATTACCGCTATCTGTGTAAAGCACGAATTTCTAGTACTTTGCACTTTCCTATGCACATGTTCACTCAATAAAAAGTGTCGTCTTGAGCAACCCACGTACCATATTCTTTGCCGTCGCAACCACGTGACATTGCCGTAAGTGAAATGAGAACGCTGGAATGATCGATACGAAACAGTGAGATGGGGCGTAAGTGCACGCCCAAATTATTTGAGATGCGTATACCACAAGCTATTTTCTTTTATAGAACCAATATGATGCGGATTTGTTAAATGTGAAGTTCAATGTCAAGAAAGGAAGAACACGAACTTGAAAGAGACAGTGGAGACGAAAAGTGATAGATATTCACGTAAAGTTTGATCCGTCCTTCCACAATCTCAGGTGTATTCGAAAAATGTCGCGCTTATTTACTCTATTGAAAGCAGTCTATTGCGAAAATGTTTTGCAGAGAAAAATATTTTTATATGTGATGGAAATCGCGGCTATAGGTTGGGCCCTATATCGAGTCCTAAGATAAAAGCACATTTACTGAGAGAGTCGTGGGCTCCATTTATTTTGCCGACCTATTGTTCCGAATATTTAAAACCTCCCACGATGACGTGCCTTGTTGTCGTATTGACGTTCCGGCTTGTAAAGCCGAAAATTTTATTTTTCAAATTATTAGACTGTTGCTATCTCCCCCCTCCCCGGAACTCGTTCTAGGGTTGGTCCTTTGATAAAAACCAGTCATATATCTTTAAAAAATGCTTGGATATTAACTATTCATAACTCTCTATTAAGGATGTGGAAATGAAGTGACCATCACTAAATAACTGATGAGGTGAAATATTAACATTAAAAAGCATTGTAAACGTGACTTAAAAGCTAATTCTACAAAAACAATGTAACCTGAACTAATGAAGTCACCACACATCTAAAACCTCATGCAATGTATATTGCATACCTGCAAGGGGCAGTTATTTAAGCGCTTTTTGCACTGAAATTTGGTCACGGAGTTAATCCCGTTCACGGTGGTGCTATTTTTTTAATTTTAACGGTTGAATAACTAACGAAGCATTAGGAAATTCTTTGCATGAAACACGTATTTTTTGCGATGTAATTGAGCATTGTATACATTGTGCTGACACGAAGTTTAATGCAGGTGATGTGTTTATAGAGTACACCGTTGGGTGACTGTGGTAAAATAGAAACAGCAATTTATGTTAATTCATGCTACAAAACTCACGTGACCTGCTCCCAGAGAACAGAAGAATGCATAAAGAAGTGCGTTACTAATGAACGGAAGAATTAAATAATTCTCGGTCTTGAATGTTGTTTCTGTAGTCCAATCTACAAACGTTCGTATTAAACGAGCATGACGGTACGAAGGCATAAAATCGGGTTCTGCAGCATGTTGTGACGCATGTGGCTTTGCAGGTCACATTTATTACGTGACATCTGAATCCACACTGAGCTTAATCTCTGATTTTGTACCTAATCAACGGAGTATGAGTGCTAAGCTCCGGTTTCATTAGTAATGTGGCTTCAAGGACGAGAAAGCAGCACGACTCGCGAGCAATCGAGCACCCATTCTGTCTTTCGATTGCGTTGAACTGCTTGTGCCATCAGATGCCACTTCAGTTTTTTCTTGAATAATTGTGGCGATTGGGAAAGTTGTGAGCGCCAAACAAGACGTTAACAAGAACGAGAGAGACAGGACAGAT